GGAGGTTGCGGTGAGCCGAGATCGCGCCATTGCACTCCAGCCTGGGTAACATGAGTGAAACTCCGTCTCAAAAAAAAACAAAAAAACAAAAAAACAAAAAAAAACTGGCTGGACGCGGTGGCTCACGCCTGTAATCCAGCACTTTGGGAGGCCGAGGCAGGCTGATCACGAGGTCAAGAGATGGAGACCATCCTGGCCCACATGGTGAAACCCCGTCTCTTTAAAAAAAAAAAAAAAAAAAACTGGCAATCGGGCTTCCCAGCCTCCGCACTGCTGCTGTGCTGAACTGGTGTTTCTGGGTGGGGTCTGTCCTGCACACTGCAGGAGCTGCCCTGATATTCACCCACTAGATGCCAGGAGCATCCCTCCGTCCCAGCCAAAAATGTCTCCAGACACTGCCTGATGTCCCCATGGGGACTAAAGTTAGCCTCTGGCTTGATCTGGACACCACCGGATGGTGGGGTTGGGGAGACACCAGGACCAGAGTGAAACATTCCCTGTCCTTGCAGCGTGGATGGTCAGGACAGCCTTAAGAGCTTGGGCACTATCAGGGTCATCTCGCCCATACAGACAGGAGCTGGCCTGGACTGCTGACCTCTGTTGGAGGTCCTTCAGCTGTCGGGGACAGAGCCTAGCAGGCTGCCTGTGTTTCCACCTTGAACCCTAGCTTCCATGAAGTTTGAGGCATTTGTGCTGGCACTACCCAGCTGGCAGGACCTGGGGGGCATCCTGGTGGAGCCGGGGCCTGGGGTCATGAGTTCACCAAGGGGATTCAAGGACAGGAAGAAACAGTGGTGGCGGGGGGTCCTCTGGTTGAAGCCTGGGCCTGAGAACCCTACCATACACATGGAGGCCAGAGCAAGAGAAACAGAAGGAACTCGGAAGCTGGTGGCTATAGGTCAAAGTGGAATGAAGTGTTTTTGTGTATTTTTTGAGACAGACTCTCACTCTGTTGCCCAGGCTGGAGTGCAACCTCGGCCTCCCGGGTTCAAGTGATTCTCCTGCCTCAGCCTCCTGAGTGCTGGGATTACAGGTGCACGCCATCACTCCCCGCTATTTTTACTTTTGAGACAGGGTTTCTTAATGTTGGTCAGGCTGGTCTTGAACTCATGGTCTGCCCACCTCAGCCTCCCATAGTGCTGGGATTACAGGTGTGAGCCACCACACCCGGCCCCTTCTTTTTTTTTTTTTTCCAGACTGAGTCTCACTGCTGCTCAGGCTGGAGTGCAGTGGCAAGATCTTGGCTCACTGTAACCTTTGCCTCCCAGTTTCAAGCCATTCTCCTGCCTCAGCCTCCTGAGTAGCTGAGATTACAGGCACCTGCCATCAGCCCTGGTTAATTTTTATATTTTTAGTAGAGGCAGGGTTTCGCCATATTGGCCAGGCTGGTCTCAAACTCCTGACCTCAGGTGATCCGCCCATCTCAGCCTCACGATTACAGCCGTGAGCCATGGTGCTTGGCCGGAAGGAAGTTTAATGAAACAGGAAATACAACTAGAGCTGACTTGGGTGCCTGGCACTAGAACTTCTGTCAGACTTTAGCAGGCAGGCAAGGCCCTGGCCGAGCACTCCCCACCCTGACTCCATGTCTCCCTGTGAGGGTACTCTATGACCCTTTATTCAGCAAGCTAGTCAATCAGACGCCTCCAAGAGCTCCAGGACTGGTTTATGGAATCATCCCTGAGCTATCTGTCCTGTTGATCAGTCCCACTGTCCAGCACAATATGGAGCACCAGAACAGGGCCGACACGCTGATTCAAGTGACTCAAATTGTCTCTATGGCTAGAGACCCCACACACACACACACAGAACAGCTGGGCCAGATGCTGTTCTGCTTTCCAGGTTTTCATGTCGCCATCCTCCCTACAACCCTAGGAAGTAGAGGTGTCATGATTATGTCACTGTTACCAGATTTCAGATGAAAAGACCATAGTGTGGAGGGCCTAGGGAACTTGTCTCAGGCCACATGGTTAATAACCTTCACGGCCTAGACTGAATTCATTCTCAGAACTGTGCGGGCTCTGACAACTTTGAGATGGGAAAGAGGGAAACCCAGAGAGGTGGTGAAGCTGCAGCCCCTAGGAGCCAAGGGACAGTGAACAGGGGAGGCAGAGCAGGCGGCCTTCAGGGTCCATGATCTGGAGGCTGGGAGGACGGAGCAGGTTCTGAGGAAGAACTGCAGATGGAGGGAAAAGTGGGCGGGGTTGAAGAGATGGGGCTGGAAGAGGAGGAGGTAAAAGAAGAGGACGGGAAAGGGAAGCGGGAGTAGGAGGAGGACGCTGAGCAAACAAGGATGCAGTTATTCTGGGTTGGGGGCGGGAATAAGTGGAGTGGCCTTGGTTTTCTCTGAGCTGGGAAGCTGCTGAGACTGGATGGCTGGCATTGGGGGTCTCAGGAGGCGGCTACCAGACACCAGGGAAAGCCAGTCGAAGCACCTGGAGGAGGTGTTTGGAGTTGGCACAGGTGATGGTCCACCAGGCTGGAGGCCACATCTGGCCCTGCCCATGGCCCAGGCATCAGTGGGGCAGTGGCGGCTGCAGAGGAGGTCGGAAGTGTGAGAATGTGCTGAGGTGAGGTCTGGAAGCAGTGAATTGAGGATGGTGGGGAGGATCAGGAAGGAGGAAGGAGGAAGGCTGGCCAACAGGGCAAAAACGGGTTCTAGACATTGGGTTCTGGGGAGGTCAGGAGGCTGTTGTGGCTTGCATGGGTGTGGGGCCCTGTGCCCAGGATGTTACCTGGGTGACCTCACCAAAGTTATTAGCTCCATTCTGTGACCCAGAGAGGGGTCCTGGCCCTGTGGTTCTACCAGCGTTTGTTCCTGCAGCTGTGCTGCCTCTGTGCAGGCATCCAAGGCTCTGGGGATGTTGCATGTACAGGAAGCCTTCCTGTAGCTGAGTCCACACCCTGTGCCCCCACCCCAGTCTCAGGTTGTGGTCACAGGCAGAGCCAGGAAGCCAAGATCTCAGAGTTGGCATCATCCTGAGGGATGGCTCGTCTAGGGTGTGCCCTGGGCAGCATGGAGGGCAGGTGATAGGTCATCATGGGGCAGAAAGCAAGATAGAGTCAGTCCTCTGAGCTCACCCAGCCCCACCTCTCCTGGTAATGGGTCCCTGAGCCATCTTGGTTTGCCTTGGGGAACCTGGGTTCACATAGGTCAAGAAGCTTGTCTAGAGTCACCCTGCAAGTTGTCATGATTAGTTGTTCAATCTGGGTTGAACAGGGCTTCATAGGGCCACTTCAGTTGGAGGTTGGGGCTTCCCCATCCTAAGAACCCCTCTCGGAGGCCGACGCTCAGGGAGCACCAGTTGGGAAAACCAGCACCCCAGGCTGACTGGTCTCACGGCTCCCTACGTAGGACCAGGCTAGAACCCTAGGGCCCTGGTAAGGGTCACTCCTCGGCCTGGGGAGAGGCAACACTTCAAAGGGCATCTGGAAGCAGAATGCGGTTCCATGTTACTGATGAGATGGGGAAGGAGTGAAGGATGATTCCAAGGGGGCTCTGATTCCCTGGGTGCCAGCAGGCTAGCGGGGGTCACGGAAGAACCTGCAGTGATGTGTGTGGTGGGAGAGACTGGCAGCAGCTTCTGCGGGGTGGGGGTGTGGAGCTGGCCCAATGCGTTGGAGAACTGAGCAGGCTGCTGATCCTGGCTGTGGGTACGGGTGCTGAAAGGGTGGACACCAGGGGACCCTGTTGGCAATAAGCCGGCTGACATGGTGGGGACCTCGATGTTCTAGGAGGGAAAACAAGCCAGGTGGGAGTGCAGTCATGATGGAGAGTGGTGAGGGAGGGATGGAGTCAGTCAGTGCTAGGTAGTTCAAAGAAGACCCGTCAGGACCTGAGATGGGATGGATCAAGGGTGGGATGGGGAAGGAGCCTGGGGAGATGGTCCAGGCATGAGGGGAGTGAGGGAAAGGCTCGGGTGAGAGGTAGGTGTGGGGTGTGGGCACTGACAGGCAGGAGAAACTTGGAACCATCTGAGTGGGACACTGTTGAGAACTGGAGACCCTGGGCTGGTTGGTAGCTGTCAACATGAGGCATCTACAGAGGGGGGATGGGAGGCCCTCGGCTTCCTACCTTAGGGCCCTGACTGCCGTCTCTACCTGATGGAGCAGCAGTCCTGCTGCCCCTTATCAGAAAAAGCAGTGTTATCCCGGACACGGCCACACGGAGGATCCTCCCCACCACCAAAAGGCATCTCTGGCTGGACATTAAGAAACATCAGCAACAACATAACATTATTCGTGGCTTCGAGACTGGGACGTGGGGGTGGATAACCGAGGCACGGGCTCCGCGAGACAAGCAAATGCAGGGTCACTGCGTCTTCGGAGGAAGCCGCGCTCGGGCAGTCAGATTTTGCCAGCGAAAGTCCCATCCTTAATCTGCTCGTTCCAGTTCTGGACCTGGGAAGCAGGAAGGCGGGGAGCGGGACGCCGGCTCAGCCTCGGCCAAGCCCTCCCTACGCCTGGCCCAGCCTCCCTCCCCGTCGACTCACCCAGCTGGTGGGGCACAGCGAGTTGTACACGCGGAAATAGTACTCGCAGGGCTCGCTGTTCTTCCCGCGGCGGCTCATGGTCTTGACGCAACGCTGGTAGTCTGTGGAGGGCGGGGTCACGCGACAAGCCACGCCCACCCAGGACAGGATCCTCTCCTCCGCTGTTCGCTCCCTCTCAGTTCTTCCCTGCTTTGCCCCGCCTACCTCTCCCCTCGAGGCCTCCGGCCCCTACCCAGAGCTAGGCCCCCACCGCTACCTCCCTCACACTGCCCCTTCTGGCCAGGCCGTGCTCCTACCTACCTCGCCCCGTTCCTTCAAGACTCGGCCCCACACCTTCCAGATCAGTCCTAGCCCCTCCCAACCTTGCCCCGCCCCTCCCA